TCTAGTGGTACACTCTGTAATGCCTAGCCATGCTAGGTGTTCTAGTGGTACACTCTGTAATGCCTAGCCATGCTAGGTGTTCTAGTGGTACACTCTGTAATGCCTAGCCATGCTAGGTGTTCTAGTGGTACACTCTGTAATGCCTAGCCATGCTAGGTGTTCTAGTGGTACACTCTGTAATGCCTAGCCATGCTAGGTGTTCTAGTGGTACACTCTGTAATGCCTAGCCATGCTAGGTGTTCTAGTGGTACACTCTGTAATACCTAGCCATGCTAGGTGTTCTTGTGGTACACTCTAATCATTATTTTACTACATGTAAACCACACAATAACCAAATTCTATAAACTCAGCATTGTAATCCTTATAGAGAATAAACTTGATTTGATTTCAGACTTAATTCAGGGAATTGGAGCACAAATCCAGTTCCCTAGATCAAGAGCCCCTCACCAGCATTAAGGAACCTCCCTTGAGGAGTTGCAGGCTAAGAACTGTTGTGCAACCTCAGCTCATTTTTAAGTCCCAGCCTTATCTAGGGTATTACCTGGAGTTTACCTGGAGAGAGTTCCGGGGGTCAACGCCCCCGGCCCGGTCTGTGACCAGGCCTCCTGGTGGATCAGAGCCTGATCAACCAGGCTGTTGCTGCTGGCTGCACGCAAACCAACGTACGAGCCACAGCCCGGCTGATCAAGAACTGACTTTAGGTGCTTGTCCAGTGCCAGCTTGAAGACTGCCAGGGGTCTGTTGGTAATCCCCCTTATGTGTGCTGGGAGGCAGTTGAACAGTCTCGGGCCCCTGACACTTATTGTATGGTCTCTTACGTGCTACTGACACCCCTGCTTTTCATTGGGGGATGGTGCATCGTCTGCCAAGTCTTTTGCTTTCGTAGTGAGTGATTTTCGTGTGCAAGTTCGGTACTAGTCCCTCTAGGATTTTCCAGGTGTATATAATCATGTATCTCTCCCGCCTGCGTTCCAGGGAATACAGGTTCAGGAACCTCAAGCGCTCCCAGTAATTGAGGTGTTTTATCTCCGTTATGCGCGCCGTGAAGGTTCTCTGTACATTTTCTAGGTCAGCAATTTCACCTGCCTTGAAAGGTGCTGTTAGTGTGCAGCAATATTCCAGCCTAGATAGAACAAGTGACCTGAAGAGTGTCATCATGGGCTTGGCTTCCCTAGTTTTGAAGGTTCTCATTATCCATCCTGTCATTTTTCTAGCAGATGCGATTGATACAATGTTATGGTCCTTGAAGGTGAGATCCTCCGACATGATCACTCCCAGGTCTTTGACGTTGGTGTTTCGCTCTATTTGTGGCCAGAATTTGTTTTGTACTCTGATGAAGATTTAATTTCCTCGTGTTTACCATATCTGAGTAATTGAAATTTCTCATCGTTGAACTTCATATTGTTTTCTGCAGCCCACTGAAAGATTTGGTTGATGTCCGCCTGGAGCCTTGCAGTGTCTGCAATGGAAGACACTGTCATGCAGATTCGGGTGTCATCTGCAAAGGAAGACACGGTGCTGTGGCTGACATCCTTGTCTATGTCAGATATGAGGATGAGGAACAAGATGGGAGCGAGTACTGTGCCTTGTGGAACAGAGCTTTTCACCGTGCCTGCCTCGGACTTTACTCTGTTGACTACTACTCTCTGTGTTCTGTTAGTGAGGAAATTATAGATCCATCGACCGACTTTTCCTACCACCCCCAGGATGCCACTCACACAAGTCGACTAACATCCAGGTACCTACTTGCTGCTAGGTGAACGGGGACATCAACTCCAGGCTGAGGGACTGATTACCTCAAACTCCTTCTGATCTTCATTCTTTGTATTGCGCTGATGAAGCCACTGTGGCAAAACGTTTCTTCAATAAAGATACCCAAGCATACATAAGGGGGATTACCAATAGACCCCTGGCTGTCTTCAAGAAGGTGCAGGACAGGCACCTAGTAAGTGCCTGACCAGCCGGGCTGTGGTTCGTACGTCAGTTTGCGTGCGGCCAACCGTAACAGCCTGGTTGATCAGACCCTGATCCTCCACAAAGCCTGGTCTCAGCCTGGGCTTCGGGGGCGTTGACCCCCGAAACCCTCTCCAAGTATACTCCAGGTAAGCGTTGAACATGTGTCTAATTTATCAGCCTGTCACTATCCACTCCTAATTCATCTCAGTCTTTGTACATTCTTATGTCTTCCATAGTCCTTCCATCCTGTATCAAGTTTACCTCCTATAATTTCTCCCTCATAGTTTATACCCCTTAGTTCTTGGATTATTATAATCAAGAGGGGAGCGCTAAACCCGTAGGATTATACAGCGCCTGGGGCGGATGTGGAAGGCATTCAGGCTTAATTCGAGGAACTGGAGCACAGATCCAATTCCCTAAATCAAGAGCCCCTCACCAACATCAAGGAACCTTCCCTGAGGGGTTAGTTCTTGGAGTGGTCCCTCTGAGAATTTTTCCAGTTTCTTGACATACTTGATCAGGTGTGGGTTCCAAGCTGGTGCTGCATATTCCAAGATGGGCTTCCCGAATCTGTACTCCGTGTCTGGTCTTATCACTGATGGGTAACTACCTATGTTAACCTTCTCCACCCTTACTATGATCCTGCATCACCCCCTGCCCTGCATGATTCTAGTGGGTTTAGCGCTTCTTTTTTTATAATAATCATTGCTGGTGTTGACGTCCAAAAGTTACTTGTTAGACCAATCTTGCAGTTTAAGTCAGTTTGAAGACTTCTTTCCTTATCTTCTGTTTCTAATCACTTACTTTCTCATAATGTACGAAGATAAACAGCAGCGGTCCCAGTACCGATCCTTGTGGAACCTTATGACTCGTACGGAATTAGCGCTTTCCTATGAACATATAATTCCGTTTGATGCCAAAGATCTGATATATTAATATTACTTTGCATGTCACGATGAGAACTAAATATTGTAATCTGCTGGGAGCAAGGATAGGCATGATAACACTGAAGAAGCCTGACAAATGTCCTTGAACTGTGTCACAATGTTATACTTTCGTCAAAATATTAAATTCTTCTCTATTTCAAGTTAGTCTTGCAGTAACAGATTTCAATTTATATACATAACTGAAATTAATTTTAAAAATTTTCTTCAAAAATAGTTGAACATAACTCATTATTCCCGATTCTATCATAAATAAGCACATTTATTAATGCTATTATCAACATAATTGCTGCTTATGTATTTAGGTCGCTGCTTGATCCAAGGAAGTTATTCTTGTATTGCATAACCTTATTTATGCAGCATAAGTTCCAGTGTAGTTAGTATTAGTGTTGAAAACTCGAGACAAAAGAGATTTGATATTCACACATTATCATAGTTATAGGAGTACCTCCTAATGGTTATAATCGTAACTATGGTTTTTAAAGAGGTGGAGGGGTAAGCCAGCGGAAGGCCTCTGTCAGATGACCAAAAGCTCCATGTGAGTTATCACATAACTAAGACCCGGTAACATACAGGAAACACTTGTTCTGTTTCCTGACAAACATTATACCTGCCTACCAACCTACACGTTATAGTGACACTAATACCCTCGAGGTTTACAATATAAATGGCAAATTAGGACATACCCAGTCCTAAACAAATTCAGACCTATAGAGAAACAGCTTTGAAGCTAAACTGAAAAGGAATTCTCTTATCTCGGAGTCAAATATCCTAAAGTACACCAGCACGTCAAGTTTAGTTGCTTGGAATTTTGCATTGTCAACTTACTAGCGTTTAAGGGTGAAGACCATTACACCCCAGTCAAATCCCATATCTACCTATTAGCTGCAGCTAAACTGATTAATACGAGTTTGAAGGGAGCTTGGGTATTTGTATCAGACCCAACTGATACTGGGAGTGATGGCTTCCTTGAAGAATGGCGCCTACATCACTCGGGTCATAGTTCTAGTGTCCTTTCACTCAACGCCGGATATATGTACCGTCACTTTCACTACCACCACTATCCATGGTAACGAGAATGTTCTCCCAAATAGTGTCTTTGGAGATTGTCAAATCAAGTCTTGAGCGCGTGGCCACTGTTCCTTGGTTCTTTAACGGGAAGGCAGCCATGCCCTCTTTAGACACGTTCCCGTTCGTTTGTCACAACATGCCCTCTTGGGCATCTCGAACTCCCGTCCCACAAAGGAAATGCTGACTTCAGCTTCATAGACATTCATTGCTATCTTTTGTAACACTTCATCCTAGAATCTCTGTTTCTTAGGATTCTAGGCGGGTTTATGGGGGCCATAATATTCCTAGCTTGTTGATCAAGTGGGGGCGTAGGTTTCCAAGATTTTTTTCCTGCAAGTGGCCAGGAAATCTGGTAAAGAAAGGCATGCTTTGTGACGCCTCGCCCCACATATGTCTTTGATAATTATGTTGTGGTGGGGAAAAAGAAAGACGGTTCACAACCCCTTCTGAGAGGGTCATTACCCCTCCCCCTTCAAGAGGGGGGGATATCGCCCCTTCACAACTGGAGACTTTTCTCCACAGAAAGGGCGGAAGGCATTCAAGCTTAACTCACTGAACTGGAGCACAGATTCAATTCACTAGATCAAGAGCCCTTCACCAGCATGAAGGAATCTCCCTGGAGGGAAAGGGATATTTACAAGATACATTATGAAACACCAGGGTTAGGTTAGGTTAGGTGTTTCCTGACGCGGGTCTTAACTGGAGCTTTTGGTGACCGAGGCCTTCCGCTGGCTTACCCCTCCACCCCTTTAATAATTATGGTCATATAGTTATAACCATTTAGTCTGTGTGAACTACCAGATTTTCATCACTGATGTATATACATATTACAAATGTTTATAATGTTTTAATGTCTGTATGCTATAATGTACTATATAAACTTGCTAAATGATACCAAATAAACTAAAAATATTTCAGTGCAGAAATTTGAAAAAGAAAACGAGCTTTTAGTACAGATCCAATTCCCTAGATCAAGAGCCCCTCACTATCATCAAGGAACCTCCCTAGAGGGGGAGTAAATCTAGTAAATCAATAGTCTATGTTTTATTTGCATCCAGAGAAGTGGTGTAACTAGGGCCAGTCTTTGAAATAATTTTTTTTCTTAGTATAGCAATTTTTTTTGGCGTGTCATAAATCACACTTCAGAAGATGGATAAATGTCCTTATGTGAAACAAAAAAATAGATGATGTAGGTAATAAACATGTACATATCTGTTGTTAATTAGTTTGGCTAAAATAGTTAGAGATGCGGTGGAAGACTCAGGTGGTGGTAATGTAGGACTCAGGTGGTGTTCTCTAAGGTGGAGACAAACTTGTGAAGATCTACGGCAACGAGAGTTGGCTGTTCCATGGCCGAGAAGTGTCCTCCAGCTGGTTGCTCACTGTCAAGGTAAGTTATTATTTTAAAATAACCTTAAATAATACATAATTAGTTAAAAAGTTATAACAGTTAGTAAGCCAGCAGAAGGCCTGTCAGATGACCAAAAGCTCCAGCTGCAGGTCGTCATATAAGACCAGCGCCAGGAAACACTTATACTGTTTCCTGACAAGCTTTACCAAATTTAGTAAAACTTTACAAATAGCAGATTTTACATTTAACATAATGAAAATTTAGTGGTCAGTGCATTAACGGCTGTTTAAAACTTGCAAATTCAAGAGATAAATGAAGCCTTAACACTCACTACCAAGAAATTAGAGGTAAATATAAAAAAATCTTTCTTACTTGTATGTGACAATATTGTGGTATTTGTGGGCAAGAAAGTTCTTGGGCAGCTTCAGATTCTCCTGGGGAAAGATTGCCAGTCCAGCAGGTACTCGACATGGGATGCTGGAAGAACACGAGACTCAGATGTTAGGTAAAAGGACACATGCAACTAATGTGACATTTTATTGTGGCAACGTTTCGCTCTCCAGGAGCTTTATCAAGCCGTTGATAAGATCTTGGAGAGCGAAACGTTGCCACAATAAGGTCATATTAGTTGCACTTGCGGCCTTTTACCTAACATTGTCGATAATTCTACCAACATTAATACAATGAGAATCAGATGACCGCTGCATTTTTAATAATTTTTGTATTAAGAATACACAGAAAATTAATATTTTTTAAATCTGCATGTCGCTAGTTCATATTTCTATCAAAACATGATTTCTTGCAAGATCTGTAACCAAGAGAAAAATAATTATACTTTTCTGTCACAGAATAAAAACACAAAAAAAATACCACTTACTTATCTAGCATTCCATAAGTTTTTTTGTTAAATGCCTCAGAGTATAAACGTGCGCTAGTTGTGATAGAACTTGTAAACCTGTAATGCAATATTTGTTGGTTATGAGTCAATGATGAGATCAGTGGTATATAATAACAAAAGTTGGTGTGTAAGACACATGTGCAACATCTGGGTGTCTTGGAATATGAGCCTAGTAATATGTAAGTTTATTTAGGTACAGGTACACATAAGTACAATTATCATAGTGTGAATTACATAGGATAACCCTAAAAAAGTCGAAGTGACTTATTTCCACTGGGGTCCTTGTAATATCTTATCTAAACCTTAAAACCTTAATGAAAGGATTCAGAGAAACCAGTTAATGGACGTCATAAAAGCACACCACGTTAACTAATGTAAGCCTAGTGACGTGGTTCCATGGAGGAAGATTATTATAATCAAGGGGGAAGCGCTAAACCCGGAGGATTATACAGCGCCTGGGGGGTGGATGTGGAAGGCATTCAGGCTTAATTCGGGGAACTGGAGCACAGATCCAATTCCCTAAATCAAGAGCCCCTCACCAACATCAAGGAACCTTCCTTGAGGTGTGGAGGAGGAAGAGACATGTCAGTGATTCATGGTTATCCTTCATCTCATTTCCTGAAGGAAAATAATCTACGTATACTTCATTTTCAGTCTTATATACTGTAGTTTACAGCTCCTGAACAGTTAGAGAGGGAGTTGTATTGAGTTTTTAAAAAGTCGGATAATAGCACAATTATCAGATGCTATTTGTAGTACCTTTCGTGTACAAGCCTCTCATTACCTGTTCAGATGCTCTGTATGCAAAGAACACCAGATAATACTAACACAGAATAAGTGATTTTTTACACATTAATTTTACAAGCTAAGAGTCGTTATCCTACCTCGGCTTATTTCAAAACCCAGTTCTAAGGGGGGATAGATTCCAATTAATTTTTTTTTTGTTTACCGTCAAATTTCCTTCAGTTTTGGTGCACAAGACGAAGTACTTTCTCTAGTTCCTGTAAATATTTGTCAATAAGATACCTCAAACAACAACTGAGAAAGGACTGAGAAAGGACTGATTTACTGAAAATGCCCTTTGGCAGGGAGGTATTCCTATATGGGACGACGTAAGGTTGTTTGGACACTTAGTGCCGAGAGAACAATGCTAATACGAAGTTCTCTGGGATTCCTTTCCTCTAAATATCTTATCTTTATTTCACAAAAAAATAAAGTTTGTTAGTTCTTGGAATGTTGCAAAAAATCTGCCCTTTACTCCCACATAAATCCGAAAATATTTGGAATATTTCCAAAAATCCCCCATCAACAATTAGAGAAATTATTTTACAATTTCTGTGAATATTATTCCACTTAATTAAGTAATAAAGGCGTAGTCAAGCGAAATAAGTGAATAAGTTACTTCCGAGATATTGGCCTGGAACGCCGGCCGGCCCGCCGTCTCTATTTTTTTTTGTTTTTGCGAAAATCGCATTTGTTTGGGTGGTTTTCTTAGTAAACTAATGTTCTAGTGCAGTTATCCTCTTCAAAACACCGTTTTCTATCACAAGACCAAAGAATACATGGAACGAGCAGTAACTCTTTTATATCAAATATTGCTGGTTGACTCTCCCCATATTATGGCCTATTTTATTCAGTCTAGAGTATATAACATATTTGTATGCTATTTATAGTGTATTATATCATATTAGATCAATTCTGATAGATAAATAAGCCGTAGAGTTGATATAAGCGTAATAATGAAGTAATTTCTCCTGCCTCTCTGGAGCGGGAATACTGCTAGTGTTCCCAGATAGTTTCTGATTGGCTGGAAGTCTACGTATAAGCTCCGCCTACATTTTTATGATGCCAAATAGTCAATTATTATATTAGAAAGAATAATGCAAGAAAAAGCGATAAAAAAACAAGGAAAAAAAATCCAAAAAATATATGGGCTGTGAGCAGACGTGCCACCCACATCGCGTCACCACACCTGATATAAATGACTATAATTTCTTGTAGAAACGTCGTAGAACATTGATTCTTGTACCATTGTGTTGCCAAAGAGTTAAGCTATTTTTTCTATACGAATAACTTAGTTTCCATAATTTTTCGATTTTTTAAAGCGCGCAAAAAAATTGGATGACAGCCCTCTAAGGCATACTACCACCCCCAGGATGCCACCCACAACATTCGACTAACACCCAGGTACCCTTACTTACTGCTATGTGAACAGGGACAGGAGGTGTAGAGAAACATGCCCAACATTTCCACTTAACATCCTTAAAATGACGACTTCTGCATAAACCTTCCCCTCAAGGAAGGTTCCTTGATGTTGGTGAGGGGCTCTTGATTTAGGGAATTGGATCTGTGCTCCAGTTCCCCGAATTAAGCCTGAATGCCTTCCACATCCCCCCCAGGCGCTGTATAATCCTCCGGGTTTAGCGCTTCCCCCTTGATTATAATAATAATAATGCATAAACCTTACAAGAATATTCTTTAATATATACTAAAACATGCCTTGTAAGGTCAGTTCTAATTTACAGTCATTATCATCATTTCAGAAACAAACGAATGACAAAGATATACAGTAATTCTTGCAGAGTACTTTGCATATAGATAAAGCATATATTACAATTTTTAACCAGCTTTTGATAGAAGAATTATACAAAAATGGGAGATTATTTAACCTTTTTAACCCTCTTTACACTATAATTTACTTCCACCTCTCGTCCAATGGACATGGGAAACAGGACTGATTAAGAATTTATAATGAGTCAACATTGATCGAGTAATTACACATACCAATAAATGCAGATATTATCCAACAAATTATCTAGAGATATTGGAAAGTCACCGTGAAGGAGTCCACCATCAGGCTTGTGACGATTGTCTCTATGAGTCCAGATGCTGAACTTTTCTAAGATATATGCTGCAAGACTCACTGGATTCTGGTTCAGTCCTGCACCTGTGTATATGAAGACAAAATAAAGTAGTGGTGGTGGCTTACAGGAATCTAAATGAATTCACCAAGTGAAGGGATTAGTTAAATAGTGGTAGTGATACTGTATTAGGTAAGTGGTGGTGGTTGTAAAGTGTCGAAGGGGCAAGATCACCCACCAGCAGGTGACTATGTAAGGTCACTGTGACCTATACTTATCTACAGAGAATCATCTCATAGTAACTATTATTGTAGAAAGAGGAGAACCAAACTCCCACACCTTGCTGAGCCGCTATATAACCTGCTGTTGTCTGCAGGACCCAATATTTCCCTAGAACACAGCTGGATCCAAGGGCCCTTGTGAAGCAAGTCTGCTACACAGAATGATAGATATAGCAGTATTTACCTCCGCATCTGTATGGTCATTACCTGGAACTCCATCATGACCCAGACACCAAGAGAACTGCACGGCCCTGTGGCTCAGTGAATCATTTGAATTCTGATGTCCATATACTCCTGGCAAGACAGCTACTACATTAATGATGGTAAATGTGTTTCCTTCTCTGGGTCATACCTTGGTTGGAAACAACTGCTGTAGTGCAAAAGATTATATTACTGCATATACATTTGTTTTTAACGAGGCAAAGATCATCTATATCTAATTCAGATAAAAGAGTGAAAGTCAAAAAATACACAGATATAGAACATAGTACACTCCAGCTCCCTTATCCACTACTGCTACATCCACTTCATTTTATCTTCACTGAAGGTAATACGAATATTTCAGTTTCTTGTGATAATCAACTGAAGATCAACATTTCATGCAGATCTTCAGTTGAAGACAAACAATACAGATGCGATGGATAACAGAACTTTCGTAAAACAATAAAGGTGACAGTACTAACCAATAGTGTCAGGTTTGGTGGCCTGCAAGTGCATGTAGCCAGTTTCCATGAGCACCATGGAGAAAAGATTTGACAGCGGGTACAATTTGTTCTGGTCTTCCTTGGCGACCACTACTCCTGCAGGCAGGAAGGCTCCCAGCAACATTTTGATTCTGAATGTCAGACCAGGAGTACTGACATAAAACGTGTTCACATGTACCCCTAAAATACTGGGGGAAAAATAAATCAGATTAAAAAAATAATTAAAAATGTTTAAAGAGTGAATTTAACCTGGAACACACCTGGAGAGGGTTTCGGGGGTCAATGCCCCCGAGACCCGGTGTGACCAGGCTTCGCGGTGGATCAGGGCCTGATCAACCAGGCTGCTACTGTTGGCCGCATGCAAACCGATGTAGTGTGTGGCCAGCAGCCACATTTAAGTTTATTTAAGTATAGGTACACAAATAGTTACATAAATTATCATACATAGTTAACATGTGTGTAAATTCCCTAGGCCTAGGAAAACCTTAAAAATGTCTAAGCGTGCGTGAGCAAGTTAGATATAAGTGAAAGGAGACGAATGGTGTTTAGGACCTAACGAGCTGTTGGAGTGTGAGCAGGGTAATATTTTGTGAAGGGATTCAGAGAAACCGGTTAACTTGACTCGAGTCCTGGAAGTGGGAAGTACAATGCCTGCATTTTAAAGGAGGGGGTTTGGCATACTGACAGTTTGGGGGGACATCTAAACTGTCGTATCTGAGCGCCTCTACAAAGACAGTGATTATGTATGCGTGATGGTGAAAGTGTTGAATGATGAAAGTTTTTTTTTTCTTTTTGGGTCACCCTGTCTCGGTGGGAAACGGCCGACGTATTAAACATATATATAATATATAATATAATGTTAACGGCTGTCTTCCGGCAAGGTCGGGTGACCGAAGAAGGTAACTCCTTATTTACTGAATCACTGCCTTGCCAGAGGTGTGCTGACATCACAGTTAAGATTAACCTCTGACTGCAACATCCTCCCTTCCCCACCCCTCCTGCTGAGTACTTCAGGACTCTTAAGTCCCGCTAATATAGTTGTATACATTATTTATGTATATTGTACATCAGTCGCCACCCACCAAGGTCATGTGACCCAAAAAACAAACATCACCATCATCTATTTACAACTAGCAGGTTCGAATTACATGCTCCAGGCGTACTGCACCAAAGTACATTCTTTGTCTAAGTAAAGATATAGAAGGGGCCCAGCAGTAACAGCCTGGTTGATCTACCGTGAGGCCTGGTCACAGACCGGGCCGCGGGGGCGCTGATCCCCGAAACCCTCTCCAGGTATACTAGTTCCTTGCTTCCAGCACTTTAACTGCTAAGTCATGCATTGCTTACTGGGGAAGGATTCTGTCCTACTTCCCCACAGAATTAAAAGTATGAATTTTATACACATGCAGTGTATACCCGATGTTAGTATTACTTGCAATATTTATAAATCATCTTACGTGTTTATGAGACAAAAAAGAGAAGTAATCATCCTAGTATAAAACATTTAAAGTTTTTTGTTTCTGATAAATGTCCTAGTATTTTCTCACGTATCTTTTGAAACCAATCTGTGTATCAGTTACCAAGGTGTATACCACACTGTCAACCTATTGAGTTATATATGAAAAAATCAGTATTGTAATGTTGGGGCACTCACCGTTGAGGGTACATAATGGCCATGTTGGTAGCAATACGAGCGCCCCAGTCACCTCCCTGCACGTAGAACTGCTCATAACCCAGACGTTGCATCAACTTCACCAACACTTGACTCGTCTCAATGTGGCTAAAACCTGTATTTAATAATTTATTTCAAAACAAATTTGAGTTTTGTCATCATTAGATACAACTCAATTATGATCCTTAGTAGAGCATATATAAATAGGCACAAAATATCCAAGCACAGTATTATATGTACATACTATTAGATGTACACATACTGTAAATATACATTAATCAATGCTGACTTCGTACTAATCTTCTACTGGGGTGCACATAGCTGCTAGTGTGCAACATTACTGACAATCCTACAGAATTTTTATGTAATATTTGCAGATTACATTCAGATGCAGCACCTTGTTTGGAGGAGCTCTGAGAGAAGCCAAAGCCCGGGATGGAAGGGCAGATGACGTCAAATACAACATTACTTCCTTCCTGTGGGTGAGTAAGAAGAGGCAGTATGTCGAGGAAGCCGACGATGGAGTCTGGCCACCCATGGATCAGCAGTAGTGGCACTGCCTTGACATTTTTGGCACTGCCAATCTTAGAATCTGCACGCATGAAGTGGATGTCTAACCCTTCTATACGGGTCCTGAAATTTAAGAAAATGTTGTGCAATCAGTGATAAAATGGTCGAGCAATCCTGAACATAATCACTATTTTGAAACACACTGTGCTTCAAGTTAATAAATACTGAAATAAATATTCAGCGCTTTACTGTCATTATTATATTATTATTATTATTATTATTATATTATTATTATTATAATCAAGGGGAAGCGCTAAACCCGTAGGATTATACAGCGCCCAGGGGAGGGGGGATGTGGAAGGCATTCAGGCTTAATTCGGGGAACTGGAGCACAGATCCAATTCCTTAAATCAAGAGCCCCTCACCAACATGAATGAACCTTCCATGAGGGGCTTTACTGTCATGTGTTTCACTTTTGTTAGTCTAATACGAAATCCTCTCTGCTTGTACTTTTAATTTTCATGCCACTTTAGCTAGGTCAAGAGCTCAAGATTGTCCCAATATGGGTGTTATTCCATAAAATTCATTTTTCTTTACTATTGATGAGTGTCTGCCCTATACAGTACTCTGAACAGTCAAGTGACCAATGTATAGTGTAAGCCTAAGTGACGTGGAAGCCATATATTGCTACCCGCAAGGGCTAGCCTAGCCAATGCGGTTTATATGCAGTTTTCTCTATTACCCACAACCACTGCCTATATTGTGTATGATATGTAGTTACAGTACAGCACTGAATGGAATAATGCGTCATCTCATATACAGCATCCACCTTTTACAATCATTTTCGTACAAAAACACGCGAGTGATATGGTAATTTTTTTTTTCACAATAACACAAGTGTTAGAGATGTAACAGATAAACACGTACTGTAGTAAACCGACAGTTAGGTAAGCTTGCCTAGGACTTTATGAAACTTTGCCTACCCAGTAGGCTTAGTCAGCAAAGTTGAAAAGAATACTGAAGATTTCATCCATCACCCTGTTTCATTATTGGAAAGAGCATTGTTTCATAGTATGAAACAATATGTACATCGTCTTAAGTCCTGCCTTCAACTTTTCTGTATGCAAGAAGCACGTGTAGGCAAGTTTCATAATAAAGTACCTAACTGTTGCATATGTGTCTTACCTAACAAACACGTACTGCGCATTATAATTTGCCGAGTGGCCCCAGATATAGCAAGATCTGGTTTTCCCTGTCAAGTACTTGTGTATATGCTATAATTATGCAAGTGCTAATACGTGATTTTAAGTACTAATGCATATTAAGTGATAGTTCTGTACAATATACAATAATTTAACAATAGTTATACTGCCAAGTATCTTGACCAGGTGCCAGGTCAACCAGGTTGTGATGGATATGTGGGGCTGCGGGCCACCAACAGCAACATCCTGGCTGACCAGGCATGTACCAGAGGAGCCTGGCTCATGGCCGGGCTCCAGGAGTAAAAAAAAAAAAAAACTCGGAACTCAAAGGTATATCAAAGGTAAGGTCTATCCATACTTGAAATGGGGGTAAGAGTTGAGTCTTGCCTCTCTCTCCCTCCAGTCGTATTTCTCCCTCCAATACTTCACAATTTTTTGCAAGGTGTCAGAGTTCATACCATATGTGAAATTGGCACCTTCCAGAGCTGGAGTCAGTCTCAGGGCAGTGCCAGGCGAGCCTTAAAATCTCGCAAGTCCTGTGGTGGAAAGTACTACATTTATTTCAAGTAGAAACACTTCAGACTATTTGACACATCACAAGACAAGAATGATATGAGCTTTATCTTACCTGATAAAATATAACCTAGTCAAACCTCATCCAAATTTGTAACTTAATTAAACTGTGTGTAGTCTGGGGTTTGTGAGTGTTAAGTATAACTTAGCCAGCAGTGACTTGCTGACACTGCAGTGATCTACTGTAATTTGCAGTGACCTGCTATACTGCAGTGACCTACTGGCAGCTGCTGAGAGTTGCTGTTATCTTCAGTGAGCTACTGCTATCTGACATGAGCTACCAGCATCTGGCATGAGCTACCAGCATTATGATGGGCTATCAGCATCTGTGATGAACTATCCACATCTGTGATGAGCTACCAACATCTGTGATGAGCTACCAACATCTGTGATGAGCTACCAACATCTGTGATGAGCTACCAACATCTGTGATGAGCTACCAACGTCTGTGATGTGCTACTAACATCTGTGATGAGCTACCAACATCTGTGATGAGCTACCAACGTCTGTGATATGCTACTAACATGTGAAGCTACCACATCTGTAGAGCTACCAGCTTTGCATACTACAAGCATCATGATGGTCTATCAGCATCTGTGATGAACTATCAACAATGTGATGAGCTTCTAACATCTGTGATGAGCTACCAACATCCGATACGAGTTACCAGAATCAGACATAAGCAACCACAGCATATCAACCCTGTCAGCTAACATTTATATTACACACTAGCAATAACTAAGAATATTGGCAGTCATTTTATAAAATCGCCCCAAATCTCTCCCCTTCACAAAAAAAATTCAATTATTTATCCACTAGGATATGACGAATTCACAGGAGTCGTACAATGCCAGGGTAACAAGAGTTAATCTGGCTATTGATCCTTGGATCAAGAGCCCCTTGGCAGCATGAATATACTGCTCTTGGGATGCCTCTACAGCTAAATTTAATAGGCATCAGGTATTTTGTACATTTTTATATGTATAATTAAATATTGTAATGCAAGTTTATTTAATAGCTAAAACGAAAATATTATGTATTATAGTATTATTTTATATTTAGATACTCGAATAATAATAATAATAATAATAATAATAATAATCTTTATTTTTACAAGTACATGATATAACTTATACAGACCATAGTTGACATCAATGATGCACTACTGTATATAAAGCCTCTTGTTATGCTGAGAATTTTGGACAAATTAGGTTTTGTCCCCAGGATGCCACCCACACTAGTCAACTAACACCCAGGTACATATTTACTGCTAAGTAAACAGGTACAGCAGGTGTCTTAACAAAACACTCCTAAACATTTCCACCCGTACTGGAGATCGAACCATGAACCTCAGTGTGTGAGATGAGTGCACTACCAACCGAGCTGTGGTAGGTAGGATGTATTCGGTTCCTCCACAGTTTCCATGCAAGGAAAAACTGCTGTAATTGTTTTTCCCGTTCTAGAATTTGTTACACTCGCTCAACTATGTTGATCCATGGTGGGAGATTTGTCACTGTCGTTGGTAGCAACTGCCTCCCAGCGTATATAAGAGGGATTACCAATAGACCCCTGGCTGTCTTGAAGGCACTGGACAAGCACCTCAAGTCAGTACCTGACCAACCAGGCTGTGGTTCGTACGTCAGTTTTCGTGCGGCCAGCAGTAACAGCCTGGTTGATCAGATCCTGATCCACCATGAAGCCTGGTCTCAGACCGGGCTGCGGGGGCGTTGACCCCCGAAACCCTCTCCAGGTATGCTCAGTAAGAGGAGGAAGATCGAGCCTTGTGAAGAATGACTCATGGGTTCGGTGCTTAAAACGTTTTTGGTAGAATATATTCACGTCGGTGAACCAAGACATACATCTATTTCATGTGCAATTATGTTCCCAGAGTTCTATTTAGAATTAGTAAGATTTTTTTTTTGAGCCTGTGTTAAGAAGTCATACTGGGGGGGGGGGCACAAAATTTTAGCACCATTTTCTGAAATTTTTTAGTTTCGTGTATTTTTTTAAAAATCAGATGAAGTAATAATATTTTTATGGACTCCTCACATGATTTTATAAAATATGATAAATATTTAAAAATATATAAATATATCATTTACAGCCAGGACTAACTGGTTCTTGCACCAGGCTACTCCTTCCTGTAACTATAACATTATTATATTAAAAAAGAAGCTCTAAACCACAAGGGGCTACCTGTAACCATAACATATGACCTACAAGGTCAGTGACCTTCCTGCACCCACAGTAATTTGTGGGAGATCTCACACAAATGGCCACACAAGTGGAAGTGGATTATCTGGAGTTAACCTGGAGAGAGTTCCGGGGGTCAACGCCCCCGCGGCCCGGTCTGTGACCAGGCCTCCTGGTGGATCAGAGCCTGATCAACCAGGCTGTTACTGCTGGCTGCACGCAAACCAACGTACGAGCCACAGCCCGGCTGGTCAGGAACCGACTTTAGGTGCTTGTCCAGTGCCAGCTTGAAGACTGCCAGGGGTCTGTTGGTAATCCCCCTTATGTATGCTGGGAGGCAGTTGAACAGTCTCGGGCCCCGGACACTTATTGTATGGTCTCTTAACGTGCTAGTGACACCCCTGCTTTTCTTGGGGGGTTTTTGCATCGTCTGTCAAGTCTTTTGCTTTCGTAGGAGTGATTTTCGTGTGCAAGTTTTGTAATAGTCCCTCTAGGATTTTCCAGGTGTATATAATCATGTA